ACCCCCCTTTGTCACGTTTAAGGTAAGAGCCGTTAGCAACCGTGAAGTGTAAATTGACAACGGCACTAGTTTCTCAGGCGGCATCAGTGAAAAATCAGGAATGTATTTTAAATGTAATCGTATTTTGTTATAGGCTAACCCAGTTTGGATCTCGACCGCATCTGTTCTCAGCTAGCTTGTGTTGAGCCATTAAAACATAATAAAATAATATTAACTAAACCTCTATTTGGTAGATATATGAAATAACACTGGTCTTGGTGTTTGAAGCTTTACGAAAATGTAAGAAACGCCATAAAGACGTGGTTGTGTTTGCTGTTTGAGGAGAAGAAAAAACATGATTCTGACGATCAGTGTCTAATAGAAAGTTATCGTACATGCATGGTGGACTGAAGTTTACAACTATTGTACAAATTCGTGTTTACAGATACTGAAAYAAATATTTTTAGATTGCTTACAGTGAACCTTTAACTCTCTTTAGACTTTTAGATTTGACCTCTTTAAGGAAAAACAAGCAGATTCGTGATTCTAAAATAATATTTTAAAAAGATAACCAAAAACAAATGTATTTTCAATATACACACCCTATAGTTAAAATCCTCCCTTCAAACTCACTTTAGACTTTTAGATTTGACCTTTTCGAAAATCATAAGGAAAAACAAGCAGATTCGTGATTTTAAAATAATATTTTGAAAAGATAAAAAACAAATGTATTTTCAATGCAAACACTGTATTCATTAATCCTCCCTATTTTTAATTGTTTTATTTTCCAAACTTAGTTATTATACTCTGTAGTTATCTTCATGTACGGGATTATTATGTTGTCAAGCTTTCGGAAAATGAAAAGCCCGCGYGTACGTCAATGACTTCGGGCGAGGGGGAAACTGCAAACATACACGTAGTTGTTTAAGAATTCACGAGGAAAGAACTCTAATCTTTTTCCTACGTCATGTTGAAAAACTTTTATTTACTCTGTATGACGGCTAACAACTTAAAATATTTGTACGCTATTCACTAAGCTTAGTTATAAAACCGCGCAACATATTTCAAGCAAAATTGTCAAGCAAAATTATGTTAAAAATAGCCAATTTTTCTAAGGATAGAGTTAATTAGATTTTTTTGATTGACGTTGTGGTTAGGGATTTTTGAAAAAAACCTTCAATGGTCTTTTAAAGCAAGAACGATTAATCTTCCATTAAGTCRGAATTAGACGTCACTTAGTGCTTTATATAGCGATTGCGAGTCATACTCGAGATATTAGTTTCATCGGATGTTTAAGCCTTGGTTCTTATTGGTCAAAATTTCTTTATCAACGTGAGCTGTTATACTTACAYCCTTGAACTTTTAATGACGCTATTTCTGCAATCAAAACCTGGCAGTAACGATTCTGTGTTGACTACACGAATGACCGTGAAAGACAACAAAAAAGCAATGGAATCAAAGAAAATATTGAAGACAAAAAATATAGAAGGTACGAAGAGACCAACTCGTTTGGCAAAGCTACCACAAAGACCTGAATTTCATTCAAGTTTCAAAAATTCCATCGAAAGCGGCCGACACCAAAATGGCTTTTCTAAACCTCTTTATGAATCCTTTGGGTTCTTAACGCCAAAAAAGCTTGGGTATCCCATACAAAATCATGTCCGAGATTGGCAGAAAACTAGAAACTCAGTCCCTTATGATTTGAGTTCTCTAAATATCGGCGGACGAGGATTTCCGACGAGACTTTCATCGCTTGTAGGAGAAGACGTTTCTCAAGGGTCAAAATCTCTCGCAGCAGGACGGGAAAAAGATGAAATAATAGTCAAACTTCCTAGTAATCTTTCGGATTCGAGTTCTGACAGTTCAAAGGAAATAAGACTACCTTCTTTACCTAGTATTTCAACTAGTAAAGAAGTATCAACGACTAAAAATTTTGGAAGGAAAGAGGCATCAAAATTGTCGACCAATTTGAGCTTAATCGAGAGCAGAAGAAAAAGCAAGACTTTTCCCAGGGCGAAAAAATTTGATAAGCATTTATTTGAGGGTAATAATGGACTGGACGATGTTTCTAATATACAGTTGGAGACTAAGTTATCATTGCCTAAGATTACCATTGATGAAGTTCTTAAAAGTTGGGATATTCAGCCAAGAACAACTCGTAGGAAGCGAGCGTCAAGCAACGCTTCAATGAAACACGATCCCATGGAATTCCTGATTCAAAGACAAACAGATTTCGAGAAGAGTTCTCTGCAAGAGAGCTTTTCTTCTTGCTATGAAGAGGTCAAAGGTTGCAGATATCTGAGAATAGGAAAGGAGGACGAAGAAGAGGAAATTCTTCATGGTAGGAATTGTCCATGTAATTCTTGTGAACATGGAGAGGCATTAAGAGAATCGCCCTATTTGAATGCCTAAAACACAGGAAGACCAAAGTACAATCTTTTTAATAGAGCAAGTCGCCWTTTTCAAATTTGGGACGTAACCGGTTAAGAAACTATCACAAATTTCGTACCCAGACCCTTCTCCCCCCCAAAATTATCGAAAAACCTTCGATTTTTCGTTAGAAAGCTGAGAAGGGTTTGGGTACGAGAATGAAACTATCATATGAACGTTACACACCGAATCTAAATATAGCGACTCATTTGAATAATCAATGTTCTGGACTGACTAGCCTCTCGTGTTCACGTGGGAACATAAAAGCGTTTTCCCATGTATGAGAGGCTAATCACTCCAGACACTAGCAAGAAAAAATGAACTAAGAGAAGGAATTTCTGGTATTCACGCTTGTAACATAGGAACCGTTTGATGCTATTTTTAGAATCACATTTGCCATCGTTTGTTTTTCCGGAGCGTGTAATCAATAGACTTAAACAGTTACCTTCGTATGTAAATTGCCCATTTCAAATTATGTCCAGGTGAACTAGGGGAACGCGCGCAAAGGCGGTCCTAGTTTCAGTTGTTTATCGGCGAACAAAGAGCTATCATTTCGCAATAATTTCATAAAAGYATTGAAACCACGATGCGCCATATGACCCATAGGTAGTCGTTATAAGAATAGGTAGAATTTTAAATGCATTGCTAGTCCATAACGGAACTAGGAAAGCAAAGATTCAAAGTTATTTTCTCCGACTTCCCGACTGCGGCCATGTTGTTTTTTCAATGGACCGTCTGATAAGATTTTTTCCTGCGCGATGATTGGCTGGTTTTTGATGGGCTGTCAAAAAAGATATCTCCTGAGTAATATTTACACGATGTTCTCAAGAGAATTCCTTTATCTTTCTGACATTTATTTGTTCATATTCATGTGGATATGAAAACATTTCAAAGAAACTTTTCTCCAGAGAAAAATATGTAAAGATCACGTTTTGAAATGGGCAATTTACATACGAAGGTAATTAGGTCTATTTTTGTTACCAAAATAGCTTGCCTAGTCTCATAATATTTGTCACAAAATTGGCGGGAAACGCATGTAACAATGGGCTGAGAGCATTTGCCTGTAATGAAGACAGAGGTCACTTCGACAACACGTTTTACGAAAAATAATTTATTGTACATGATTTACAAATTATATACAATGAAATTTATAACCTTATTTATTATTTTTCTAACAAATCATTCCCTAAATTATTTTTAAAAATTATTGGTCATAACGAGTAATTATTGTTTCGTTAAGACCCAGTCTCTCTATCGGCTTGGCACCAAACAATGTCAAGTCACGCACAGTAAATCACTTGTGCTGACGCCATCTTGAAAGGTTGTCATGTCTTCTAATAAAATTAAGGCTGAAACCTCACTTTCATGTCAAGGCGTGGTTACATTTTCAAAATGGCGGCGCTCAAGCGGCAATAATAAGTCAACACCTATGGAACCATCTTAAAGATTAGTTCTAATATTCATAGATATTGGCTAATAAAGCCTTAATACATTAGTTTTATTGCAGTCAAACTCATGCATGAGACTTAAGGAAACAGAACGACAAAAACAACATGGACGCCATATTAGATGAAACAAAGCATCCAACATGGCGGCTATGTTGACAAGGTGCCAWGGATTCTAAACACACCACTAATTTCAGTGCGCTATTAGTTGTAATTATTATTATTATTATTATTGTTGTTGATTATTTGTAATAAATTAATTTCACTCGGACAGAACGAGGTCTACTACAAAGTGAACTACAAAGCTAGCCTCGTTCTCAGTGCACTATATAAAATCACTCGATAACAATGTGCATGCGCCATTAGAATAGATTATTTATTGATAAGAATCATATAGATATATATATGTATATATTTAGTTAGATGAAAATCCACACGAATCTATCCAAATTATTTGAATATTTTACAGGAATCTTAGTATTGAGTGGCTGTGGATTTTCGCGGTGAAAATATACTTCGAAATCCAATGTCAAGTAAAGCATTCACAGTCTAGTGATCGTAGATCAGCGGTCACTGTCATAAATCTCCAAATTTGGTAATCCAACATGGCGGCACAAAACCACGTGACCTTGAAACGCGTCACCTCTGAAAATGATCCTTTACTATCACGTGACAAGGAATGAATCAATGAAATATATTTACATCGTGCATTATGTTTGGTATTGACGGTAATTAAGAAACGACTGAATAAAATTATATTAATTTAACGAAATTGTGACTTAAAATTAAATATTAGATTTTACGATCGACTTTATAAAAATATAATTGAACAGATGTAATAAACGGCCACCTTACAGAAACTGACAATGGTTACCGCTTAAAAGAGGTTGGTAGCTTAATAGAGGCTGGTCGCTTAATAGAGGTTGGTCGCTTAATAGAGGTTGGTCACTTAATAGAGGCTGGTAGCTTAATAGAGGCTGGTCGCTTAATA